TTAGTATCCAGTTATATTCTATGTATCTAAGAAAGAATCCAGGACTTTTTTGAAGAAATCCACTGAGCTGGCCAGAACCAACTCTTGAGGTAGTCTACTCCACATTTTCACAGCTCTCACTGTGAAGAATCCTTTCTGTGTTTGGAGATTAAAGAATACATTCAGTTCCTCTAATCTTTCCTCATAGCTGATCTCCTCCATGCCTCTTATCAGTTTGGTTGCCCTTCTCTGTACTTTCTCCAGTTCCCCAATGTTCTTTTTGTGAATTGGTGCCCAAAACTGAACTGCATATTCCTGATGAGGTGTTACTAACACTTTAATGATAAATACCGCATACATGGTAAGTCATAACATACTAACTTTAAAGTAAGATAAAGTATGATCGGTTATGTATGAGATAAAGTATACCCAAAAGACTGTGAAGAGCTTCAAAAGTTATATGAACTGTGCATTCCTAAAAGGAAGGTACAGGAGGGATTACCTAGTCATGGAAGCTAGGTATTTCAAAAGCACATACAGAAGAATTGCAGAAACAAATGTAAAACTCTGTGGCGGAGATATCTTGTCAGGTTTGAGGGATGTAAAACTAATGCTTGATTCAGCCCATTGTGTTCATTTTGTACAACTGTATAGTAGCCACACAAATATGTCAAATAAGAAAACTGTTGATCTATTTAGCTCATATACACAGGCCTCTAGAGCAGTGGGTCTCAATCTTAGGGAAACCAAGGCCCGGTAAATGTTTTCCAAAACCTTTCATGCCTCAACATGGTTGTGATGGACAGCTAGATCTTAATCAGTTAGTTGCCAACCCCCATTCTAAAGCACCTGTACTCTATTCATAACGAACAAGAATAAATAGTTTGGACTACCATTTTTAAATCATAACTTATTATCATAAGACGCTACAGGACTGATCTATTAAACTGAACTGGATACAAATAGTACACAACTGAAGTTGTATATACCCAATAGGTGCGTTTTATCTCTTTAAAAAAAAAAACAAAATGTCCAAAAAAGAATAACCATACAGTGTCCATAACACATTATGCAAATAAGTATACAGGAAACTCTTTAACAAATGTTCTCTGAATTAACACAAAAAATCCTACGTGAACCAATAAAGAGTCCACCGTGAAACTTGCAAAGTGCTTTCACTGCCAATACATATTCGTTAAAGGGCTCCAGGGCTCTGGTGTTTATCCCCTGAGCACAGCAACTTACTGAAATAAAAGATTTCAACATAAAGAGCTCTATCTGCACTTTACTCTAACTCAGGTGAAGTTTTTTTTCACCAACTCCGGATCTGTATAACTGGAGGGATGTCACAGCCTAAATCCTTTACTTGGCAGGTGTCAACAGATGTCAGCCACCTGATAGATAAAAAGGAGAAGCCTAATGGTGTAGCATATTTACACATAATTTATTTATAAAAGAAATCCACTCACATGGGCAGAAAGGAAGACAAGTGTTGTGCAATAAGCAAAGCACCACCACAGGTCCTGCCCACAAGTGTGATGATGTCACAGACCAGTTCAACCCAACACGTTTCCCCAAAACAGGCATCATCAGGAATGGATGCTCTATTGCAGTTGTTTCCCATGACAACTGATTAAATTCTTTAATGTTTTCCCAAAAATAAATGGTGAAATCTGATTGGTTCCCATTAGCTACAACTCCAATTTGCTATGGATTTTCAATTCTCATTTTTGATGTAATGTTAAGTTCCTGGAGTAGGTATTTTTCAGTGACCTGTAACATGAATGCACACACCAATTAGAATGGGTACAAACTTGAAACATGTTCAAACTGGGTTTCAATTAAATGAAAAAAAACAGTCACTGGGGCATCATTGAGCTTGACAGACAGCGGAAAAAGGCTCAGTACTGGGCTATGGCTCAGTGGTTGAGGACTAGTGCTTTAGAGAACTTAAAACTGTACGTTTGTTTATGCAACAGAAGGTATTGATCATTGAATATCCCTACCACAATCATACAGACATGCATATTGGAGAACATCTTGAGTGAAATATAGTTTTTGTATGTTTTTGAGTTGTGGAATGAAAATGAAGCATTTGGTGAGATTTGTCACAGGCTATCTTGTGTCACCAGTATGAGCCTTCCTGAGACACGAAGTATAAACAATGTCTGGTCTTCATCTGGTATGGATTTCATTGCATGACTGATGGGAACTAGGCTAAGAACCGCAGGTGATGTGCAGGCAGATAATCAAAGAGAATGCTGAGTGATCAGAAAACCAAGCCATGGTGTGGGCAGTAAGTGTTCATACCTAGGCCAGCAGTCAAACAGGGTTGTAACTTAGGCAGGGGTCATGGTAGGCATTATACAAAGGAACAGCAGAATCTGGAAGACAGGCTTGAACCATAGCCAATGTAACTGCAGATATTATTATTGGAATTCTAAAGTGCCTTAAAGGACCAGGAGGAACATGTTTGCGCAAGCATTTTTCCACTGCACTGAACAGAATGTATATTTGCTGCCTGGTGATGTCACTCTAGAATATAAAAATGTGGAAGATAGATATTTTTATGCAGTTGGCATAGGAGACAGCATGCTTGGCCAGGTAAAGAAGAAACCAGAGGTGATGTCACTAGAGAAAAAAGACTAGCAGCCAAAGGCTAAACATGAAAAACCAACACAGTGCATGGTGTCTGCACTGGGAAATATATCAAGGAGCCACACTCATTCATCTAGCTGCTGTATTAATTATAAACATTCTATGAAGTGATTTTTAATTTAAACCACCACTGTAAAATGTAACACCAAATGGGTTCCCCACTGCCAGCAGCCCCTTGATCCACAAAATCAAGAGCATCATCCCATGGTTTTGCGTATTGCATTGTCAACTTTCGTCCAATCCGTATAGGGCTTCAGAAACTGTCAAAAGGAATATTTGTCCTTTTTACAGCAAACCGCTTCTCACTTTAATTCTCCCAGACTGTCATAGAGAAGCAAAAGAGAATCTTGACTGCTGTGAGCATCTAGGAAGGCCCACCATATCAGAAGGATGTTTTGGATTTACAGTTTTCACCAGCAGGTAGAGAGTTTAGTAAAATGTGTACTTGGTAATTGGGTCAGGAAACCTGGGATCTGTGAGATAGTGACTTTTCTCTCTTGAAAGAGTTTGGTGAATCTTCTAGAACAATTTACATCTATTGCAAATTTGCTCGGGGTTTTTAACTTTTCTACCAGGGTCTTTTTTTTCCATTTTTGCACAATGTTAGAATTTTAGGTCTAAAGATTAGTTAAACCACCAAAAACAATGTATATTTTCTGAAAGCAGAGCCCCTGAAGAATATAATAGTGGTAGTGATTTTTTTTTTATCTTACGTGATATTTGGGTATGTTTTCAAACATAAATTTTTAGTTAAAAAAAAAAAAAAGGCATGAAAGTTCATTTTAGTACACACAAATAGAATACGTTACCCTTTTTTTAAAATATAAAAGCTGAGATTGCAATGAGTAAATACACTCATTGGCAACTTTATTAGGTACAGCTTGCTATTGCCAAGAAAATATCCCCCACACCATTACACCACCACCACCAGCCTGAACCATTGATGCAAGGCAGGATGGATCCATGCTTTCATGTTTACACCAAATTCTGACCCTACCATCTGAATGCCGCAGTACAAAGTCTACCTATTCTCCTCTGACATCAACAAGGCATTTTCATCCACACAGTTGCTGCTCACTGGATATTTTCTCTTTTTTGGACCATTCTCTGTAAACCCTAGAGATGGTTGTGTGTGAAAATCCCAGTAGATCAGCAGTTTTTGAAATGCTCAGACCAGCCTGTCTGGCACCAACAACCATGACACATTCAAAGTCACCTAAATCCCCTTTCTTCCCCATTTTGATGCTCAATTTGAACTTCAGCAAGTCGTCTTCCCCACGTCTAGATGCCTAAATGCATTAAGTGTCTGCCATGTGATTGGCTGAATAGTAATTTGTGTTACCAGGCAATTGAACAGGTGCACCTAACAAAGTGGTTGGTGATTGTACATACCCAACATGTCAAGCCTTAAAATTGCTCAAACGTGCCGAAAATGATGGCCCTAGAGTTATTGCTTTTCACTCATTATTTGTGTTTTTTACGTTGGTGCATGGTTTTTGTTACTTTTTTTTTTTTTTTTTTCTTTTTACAATTAACTTTATTGCTATCAATAGGGGCCCCTATGTGATAAGAGTTTTTGCTATGACAGGTTCTCTTTAGAAAGACATTTTCCCCCACTTTCCACTAAAGCTAAACTGGGAAAAGTAACAGCCAAATCCATAATCCAATATAATCCATGTACATTTGCCGGAGGGGGGTGGAGATACACACGTGGGACGGCAGGGCCTGGGATACATGGCGACGGCTGTTGGGTGGGGCGTACAGTACCTTCAGGGAGCGGTGGAAGTGATTGGGTGGCTTTATAGCCACGCAAATCACTTCCACATGAAAGCCCATCGCCTGTTCTGTTGAGCCAGGAGTGTGTTTAAAATCCCTATCTACCACCCACCATTTATAAACGGCACTGGCGAACAAGGAGTTAAACATCCATTTTATTTTTTTTTTTCATTTCAATGTATGTCTTGGTTTAAAAAAAAAATTGTAATGGGTAATATAATCTCCCAAAAAACAATAGCATCATTTCTTGAAGGTACAATTTAGGGAGAGGTCATTTATTTTTAAAGCCCAAATCCAGCAATTTCTTTTTCAATTTCAAGTTTTGAAATGCTGTGGGGGCTGTTGTTGTAGAGATTTTCCTTAACTTCCAGTTCTGTCCCATCTGCAGGAAGTGGGGAGATACTGTATTACTTCATTTCCTGTTCTCTTTGTATACAGAGAAATCTCCCAAATGGGGACACAGACAGCAATAAAAAGGTAGAAGAGGCTCTAACCTTTCCACACTCTATCCAAATAAAAATGGCAGGTGTTGGGTTTTAAACTTTCTTATAATAACCAATGTCTTCCTATTGTTCCTGTTATTTCAGATGCAGTATCTGGATTCTCTAAATGGTGAAGATCTTCTGTTAACTGGTGAAGTCACTTGGCGCCCTCTAGTGGAAAATGATCCTCAAAGCATCTTGAAGCCATCTCCTCCAACATACAATGATGAGGGACTTTAAAGACACTGTGACCCTGTATACCATGTTATGATGGGAGTTTGGTTGGTGTGCTTGGTTCCAGGAGTATTTTATTGTTTATGTGAGATGAAACAAAAGCGGAAGAAACACGTTTTTCTTATGTTCTGAGTGGATTAGTTTACATAATAAAGTTCAGGGAATAGACTACTTCTATTAGGTCTGCTGGTACCAGGCTAGCCTATATTATAACGTTCTATGCAATGTCTGGTCTGGTAACGCAGGGGCCATTTTCATTTTGTCATAGTTGTGCTCATTAGCACACATCCAAAGTAAATTATGAAAACTGGAGCAAAAGTGATATAGTTGAGGATAGCAACACATTAGATCTGATCATTCAAAAACATATTAAACCCCAAACCAAAATGGTCTTATATTGCAGCTTACCATTTCTTACAAGTAGTGGCTACATTTGTTTTTTTTAAGTCAGGAATGAGCAAAGGAGGCACAGCAGACAGCAGCACTGTCAGTGTGGGGAAGGGGGGGGGGGGGAGAGAGGGAGTGTTAAAACTATTAGCAGTACACTAACAAATTAAAGCCAAATTCCAGGTCCCACTTTGTAATCAGTTACAGCAAAGTCTTTTTTTTTTTCTTTTGGGGATAAAGGTTTTACACGAATAAATAAAATCTGATCGTTTTAATTACTCCTGTCAGTGTTGAATAGTCCCATCCATATCAACTGATATGTTCTACTGGAGAGCTTGTGCTTTTGAAAACAACAGCTGGCTGGATCACCAGTTGAAAATAGAAGAAAGAAAGCTTAAAAAAGAAAACTAATGCTGCCATCACATCTAGGAATTGGTACACTGCAATATGATAAATGTTTGCTTTTGGGTTTTGTACAGTTTTAAATGTATTAAAAAAAAAATCTGGTTTCCTCCAGTTTTATTAAGTTGCTCCAGACATTACACTTTTTTCTGCAATCTACCCCCAAACCTGAATCCTATGTATAGACAATGCCGTGCAGTGCTGCACGTTACATTTGGGGAAGGTTGACAGATGCAAGTATATTTAGAACACAGTTTTGTAAAATTTACATGTTTGTAAATTTCCATTATCACTGCATTTGTAACACTTCCATTTCAAACAGAAGACCATATTAAAGCTGAAGCTAAAAAACTTTTTTCTCTATAGCTTAAGTCATATCAATTACCTATAAGCAGTTTGTCCCATTATGCAGGAAATTCTGTAGAAATCTTCACTGCAGGGCTGCCCTGTCCTCTTCCTGCTACTGATCTTCCAGTACTGTGAGGAATAACAGCTTTGGGTCTCTGGGCTCAGCTGCAGTAAAGATGATCTGGCTGAGACCAGCCCCCTCTCTTGTCCACTCCTGAATCTGAGAGTTCTTTCACTGAATACACTACCTGTAACATGAACTGTGAATGGAGGAGAGAATCTTGTGACTGATCACACCCTTCATCATTCATGGCAGAATAGTCAGTGAAAAAACTTTAGTGTAGGAGGAGGAAGGAGGGGGTGTGTCCCTGTCTGTTCATCTTTAGTGCAGCTGAGACTGGAAGCTGTTAACCCCCACAGCACTGGAAGTTCAGCAGCAGGAAGAGGACAGGGCAGCCCTGCTGTGAAGATTTCTACAGAATCCAGCAACCAGCACATCGTGGGGCATACCTCATTACAGGTAAGTAATGTAACTAAAGCTATAAAGAACGAAACTTCACCTTTACATTTTGCTCAGCTGTACCTAATTTAAGATACGTTACAGAATAGCCAGCAACTCATCCTTCTCATATATGCTTTACTGGCACACAGTAGAGGACATAGAATCCATAAAACTGATGAATTTCGGCCACAGCCTTTGTCAAAGCTTTGGTAAGCATTGGCAAAGGCTGTGCCCAAAACGCATCAGTTTAATGGATTTTATGTCCTCTACTTTGTGCCAATAAAGCATATATGATAAGGATGAGTTGCTGGCTATTCTGTAACGTTTCTTGGATCTAAAAAACCAGCCTGAGCACCAGCGCTCCTCTCACAGTCCTTTGATGAGCAGTAGAGCATGGGTGAATTGTTGACTACGTACCTAATTTATTGGTTTCTCCTTGACAATTGACCCCTAATGGAGGGTGTTTGCTAAAGAAGCCGTAGACTGCTAGCTAGTTTTTTGTCAATTAATGCACATATATTTTACTTTTTTATTTAATCTGCCTATGACTGTCTGTAAATCTGCCCCATTGTAAGACCCTAGATCAAAGTGTACCTGTTGGCCATGTGTCGTGGATGCTGCTGTTCTGCAAGGTAAACAAACTGTGCCATAGTGGTGTCATTATTCCTTGGGTTTTGATCAGCCATATATGGAAAATATTGCGTCAACGTCAAAAATGTCTGTCTCAAAACTATGCTTCGGGAGTGTTTGGGTGTTTTACAAATTTTGAATGTCTGCTCATGTTATATTATGTTGTATTGTGACTATTTCAAACCATTATTCAGTTACACTATGTTAAAGAAAAGAAAAAAAAAACCCTACAAGCATTCACAACTATTCATGTTAAAGTTGTCAGACGTGTGCAGAAACTGTGATACAAAATACTTGTTAATTTGCTGTAGTCCCTTAGTCTGCACTAGCTGTCTTGTTAAGCACAAGACCGTTTTCTATGAGGTTATTGGACAGGAATTAGGTTTCTGGAATATTTTTCCGCTATACCACTTTCAGTTTAGTTCTGCTGCCTTGTGATTAGATCCAGAAACCTCTACATATTCATCTACAACTGTTATTAAAAAGGAATTTACATAAATCAGTTGATGGAAATTGTCATTTATGTGTAAAGCCCTTATTACATGTAATGGTCTCTCAGATTGGGTATCGGTGGTAGGGTAGGCAAATATAGTCCCAGTACTTCCTTGCTACTGATCTGTCATTTGGATCTCCCTGACTGAGAAGTACCAAATCCCAACAGAGGAAAATTGGGGGAGATGTACTAAAACTGGTGCACATAGAATCTGATGCAGCAGTGCATAGAAACCAATCAGCGTCCAGGTTTTATTGTCAAAACTTAATTGAATAAGCTGAATTTAGAAGCTGATTGGTTACTATGCAGAGCTACACCAGATTCTGAGTGCACCAGTTTTAGTAAAACCCCCTCAATGCCTCCTTTTTTTCCACTTCAAGAAGAATGCACTTTTATGTACACGCAAAAGACTAACAGCTTGCACACTAATAAGTAATGGAAATCCAACCAAGGACTGTCCCTGAAAAGATGGTTAAAAACCTCTTTACTACAAACAAGAGTTTAAACCACAGTTGACACATTTCAACTGACACACTAGGGCTGATTTACTAAATAGACAAAGTGCCAATGGATTTATCACTTTGCAAGGGAAGTTGTGCTTGCTAAGGCATTTTCCCAAGAGCTTAGTGAATGCTCTACTGATTTTCTTCATCCAGTCAAACACTGTTTTTATTTTTTTTTTCCTTGGAAATGATTGGGCATTCTTTGTAAAGTGGAACGGCATATACTAAGCCCTGGGGCAAATTCCTTTGCTTATTGTTCAATCTATTTGCCTTCAATAAATGAACCCCTATGGTGTTGCTTGTGCCATATAAATAAGATGATGTGTTGGCTGAGATATTTTGGCAATGATTTACCTCCTGTGTGGAATAAGAGATTTTTAACTATCTTCAAGGTGCAAGTTATGTGGGTATGTGTAATCCTGGTGCATTTATTCTTTGGGACACCCAACAACACCTCCAAGGTGACCATCTCCGTAGCAGGATATATTTATTTAAACTGAAACCTTCTGATGGGATTTCCTATGAAACTGAATGGGGGGGGGGGGCAACCTGTATTTTTACTCCATTCATAGAGAGTCCAATGTGGAGTCTCAGAAGTCCTGTGCTTGTTATCTGCATAATTGATAGTGACGTTGCAAGTCTTTCCTCCCAACACTTTTCTCCATTCATTAGAATGAGTGGGGCTTTGCTTACTATAGAGTCCTAAAATAAAGTGAAGCATAAAGCATATTCATAAAACACTCAGCCATGCTTTTGAAATGTACTGGATGTTTTTAAGACAGTGGGGTAGATTTACTAAAACCAGAGTGCAAAATCTGGTGGAACTGTGCATGGTAGCCAATCAGCTTCTAACTTCAGCTTGTTCAAGTAAAAAAAAAAAAAATGGAAACTGATTAGTTTCTAAGCAAAGCTGCACCATATATTGCACTCTCCAGTTTTAGTAAATCAAACCCAGTGTAGCCTATACCACTGCTTTATAAATCACCCCATAAAAGTGGCCAAAGGTTTTCCGAAAAGTATCCTGGAGGGAAAGCCATCAAGCAAGGTAAGTAAAAATAAATAGATTTTGCTTATTTCTGGCCAAGCATTATCAGATATGGTGGGTGTTGAGATGAGCTTCATTGTTCCAGCATTGTGGCCGCTGTTTTCTCCCAGACTTTCAGTACACAACTGTTTCTTGAAGGATGATGGCCCTCTGGTATGTTGGAAATCTGTTTTGTTTTTGTTTTTTTATTAGCAAAGCATCACGAACACAGTGATCTCTTACCTGGATCTTGATAAACACTGTCAAATAGTCTTTTTTTTTTTTTTTTTTTTTTTCTTTTCCTCACACACGCTAGTGTGACTTCTGTTGTGACTTGTGAGAATCACATGACTAGGAAAATGTCATAGTTTTCAATTTTGCCTAATCAATATGACTCAGAATGGTGCTATTTCGGAAAAGGTTTCCACACTACTTTGGTACGATACACAGTGTGACCTGACTCCATTGAATATGCAAAGTTGCATCAAAGCCCTACAACATAATCACACTGCAAATTGCGTCAAAGTCGGATTGAAGTAGTGTGAACCGAGCCTTAATCTACTCTTAAAAAGCACATGGATCCAAGCAGATGTCTGTATTTATGCCACTTTGCTAATAAAGAGTTTTTCAGAATTCCAAAATGTCATCATCCGTTAATATTAAGAAGTTATTCAACCACTTCCATATTGGGCACGTTTACTCCCTTCCTGCCTAGGC